TATGATTACTTTTTACTTATTGAAACATTTTTTTCACACTTTTTTTGTTGTCTCTGCGTTTTAGGCATACATTGTGCAGAAGCTGTCTGCCTGTGCTTGGGCGGATTTGATCTACAAAAAATATCTCAAGGTGGAATCTTGATTGCCTGACTGACCTTATTAAAGTAGACTGGCATAAAAATAGACGGGCCACATTGATGGAATAGGAACATGTGTTTGGTTGACCTTAAACCATCTGAATTATTTTCATGGGTGTTTGAGTGCATGTGTGTATCCGGGGTAATTGTGTGTGTGTGTGTGTGTGTGTGGGTGTGTGAACTTGTCACCTAAAGGTGCAATAGTCGGAAGGATACAAACTTTGCAATACTCAGCACCCAGCTTTAAGAAAGCCCACTCACCTCTAGTAAAGAGGCCAGACAAAATTATCCCACGGGCCACAAATGGCCCCCCACCTGCATCTTGGATACCGCAGATTTATGTAAATGGGGAAAATGTATTCACAGATGGAATATGCTTTTCATCGGTGAATCAGGCTAACGTTCTCAATCTTACAAACTGCGAACAGAAACTGTGGTCAAGCATAAAGAGAAGCAAATTAATCTGTGAACAGGAGTTGAACAGAGTTGGCTTTGCGACTCTGAAGGAGACGGCCCCGTCTGTTGAGCTCTACAGGCCAAGTGCAGAAATGGCACTTCACACTAATGACTAATTGTGCACAAGTACTTAGGGAAGTGTTTCTTCAATGAGCCAGGAGTTCAACCTACTTTTTCTCAGTGAATATGATTTATTTTCTGATACCACATTTATGAATGTGACTGTGAAAGATACGTCTATTTAGAGCACCTTGTTTTTAGCACACTCCCATTCCTCTTGGTGATCCTGGCAGGAAGGACACAGCAGGCGGCTCTGAACAGCACTTTCAGCGTACAACTGTATTCTCCCTCAGTGTTTTTGAAGCATTTTATTCATGTGACTTAATAAAGAAATTTAAAACTGTTTAAGTCGATTTTCTGATTTGAGTTATAGCTGCATTTATTTCCCTGATTTTAATAAATCAAAGTTGGCTACAGAAACATGATATGCACACATTTTCCTGTGGTGTTTCCCTTGTTAACTTATTCATTTAGTACATATGAAAAACCTGTTATGAGCATCAGAATAAGAGCCGATGTTTAAGTGAAAACTGTAGATCGATATTAATTTGTAACCGTTTAACACGGCTTATCCTAATCCCAGGAAGACTTCATGGGAAAATAAACCCACTGAGCTCTACCCGAAACACTAATCCTCACTAATCATCTCACTGGTATTTTCTAATCACTTTCAGGTGAATCAATGATTCTTCTTTGGCCTTCAGGGAGCCTCATGATTCAAATTAGGAACAACATGAGGCCTTCGAGAGTTTTGGAGATGTTAATGAAACCCTCCCAAGTATTGAGTACTTCCTCCATGCTGAGGTATTTTAACTTGTTTCACATCAAAGCAAAAAACTTTTAAACTTCTAATTCAGAGCAGTAACCATGGATTACATGGTGCATAGAAAATGCAGCACAGCTTGAAGGTATATCAAAATTTGGGGCTGTAATGTGCTAAACCAACCACATGATGGCGCCAAAAAACATTTGATGGAAAACGTAAGCGCCAATGTAAACTACATTGCCAATACTTCCTGGCTGTTGATGGTCAAAACATTAAAGATAGGAACATTTTAGGGTGTTTTCTGTGTTAGGTTTTGTATAAACATAAGTTTTTAGTTTATCAATTTCCTGCTTTTGCTTATATTATTTGTCTTTTTGTTAATATTTGTCATTTAATTTATTTGAAGATATCTTCACATATTCCAGTAGGTGGCACCACAACACAATGTTAGGAGAGGGGAAAAGCCAGAAAAGTTAACTGAAAAAGAAAAAAACAAAATCAATACAATTACAGGTATTCTTTATAAAGAAACTGAACTAAGAAGAAAAAGTAATGCTACTTGAGTCTGGTTGATTACTTCTTTATTGCACCAAAGCTTTTTCCTGGCAGTATGGTTAATAAACCTCTTTATAGCTGTTTTACTCTGTAAAGGCATTTGTAGATTGAGCAGAGGAGTCAAGCATGTAAGTTTTACCCATGGAAAAATTGCCAAATCTTCTCTGTTAATAAATACATTTTATCCATATAGCATCTTTTATGTACAAAAAAGTGCTTCACAGAGGGCTTTTACAATAAAATCTGATTGGATTAAAATAATCCAATCAGATTGCATGAGACTGACACGACACGGTCATAAACATGACATAACACTGATGAACATGAAGGAGTGTTTATGAATGTTTACAACTGTTGTCATGAAGTTTCATTCGGTAAATAAGGACACTAATAATGCAAAGTTGCACTCCAGGTTCCATTAATCATCCATTAAAAGTGCATTATGTGATCAATAAGGACCCTTTTAGAGCAAAGTTTGATTCAAATTTGTATTAAAAGTCCATTAAAAGTGTCAACTTTGCAGCAAAAGTGTCATTATTTACCAAATGACATTTCATGACAACAGATGTAAACATTCATAAAGAATCCTTCACGTTCATGACTGGCGTTATAACGTCTCTTTTAAGACAGTGTCATGTCAGTCTTATGCACACCCCTTCAAATAAAGTGTTATCAAATGAAGTGTAAAATAGAGAGAAAACTAAATGATAAACTAGAAATAATGACAATAATATGTAAAAAGACCTAAATGAACATTCTTATTACATTTGAATAAGAATGTCCTCCGCTGAAAACAGCACTTGAGTCTTTGCAAATACAAACCAGTTTATTCTGTCATTGAGTCTCGTTTTGTGCTGTTCAGTGGATGACTTAATGGATTGGTTGACTGAATTTGAACAACTAAGATATATTTGCAGTTTAATTGCTTTCTAAAAAAGGGACCTAATTTTGATTAAACAGTTGAGTTCCTCAGTCGATATGCAACTACTGCTCAGAACAGAATCCCAGCTTCGTTTCTATCTTCATTTCTATTGCCCCCAATGATGGTAAGTCATTCTTATCGATTTCAACTCTGCTTCTCAACCTACAAGTGAACTTTCTTTGCAAAAATCTGTGCAAGAGGCTGCTAATGTGAAGCTTTCTATTGAACAAACATAGAGCAGCAATTTGTGGCTCATAAAGCAAAAAAATTAATGTTTTCATACGAAGCAAAAGTTGCTTTAGCTTCCAATTTCCATGACAATTTCCAAAACATTAATCAGACAGAAAGGTAGAGGAAGACTTTCACGTGAAACAGCAGCCGATCTGATCTTACATGGTAAGATCAGAGGATGCACAGAAGAATGAGTGGAGTGCAGTTCAGTTTGTACAAGAAACCAAAGGAAATCGTCTTGTTTTCCTAAATTGCTGCAACGACGTTAAGAGCAAACATTGAACTAACAAACCCTTAGTGCTGCTGGTAGGACCTGTGTGTGCAAACTTGTGTTTGGACAGGATTTTAGCAGCACAACTGTGCTTTACGCAAGCATTTAGTGTCCAACTAATGTGATTTCATTTGAAATAAAAATACATTTAATTTTTGGTGTAAAAAATATTTTACTATTCATTAGCTAAATTAGCGTTAGTCCAAAATATTGTTCATATTTTAATTAACAGTACCACTTAAAATGACCAGTTTTTCTGATTTTACTTTTTATAGGTTTATGTTTGAGTAAAAATATTGTTATTTTATTCTATGAACTACTGACAACATGTCTCCAAAAATTCCAAGCAAAAGTTTATTTATTTGCAGAAAATGAGAAATGGTTAAAATAATCAAAAAGTTACAGTGCTGCAGTGCTGTCAAATAACGCAAAGAAAACAACAATACTAATGTTTTCACTCAGGAAGGCTCCACAAATCAATATTTGGTGGAATAAGCAGGAGGTTTTCATGGTGCAGTGGTCTCTTAATTTTTTTCCCCAGAGCTGTATATTCTAAATATAAGAGGTCCAACTTGTGGGTTTAATTTTACATTGCATTTTCAATCAGTTTGGCTGTCAGAAGTCGGTGACTGTGGGACGAGGAGAGCGGGGTGGCTTGTTACGGGTTGGTGAGGGTGCTGTAAATACCTGAGCCTGGGATCCATTCACCATGAGATAATACTGCTGGCTGAGGATGCTCTGCTGCAGCTGCTCCCATGAGATATTCCTGTCTTCAAGCATGAGGAAAGGAGGCCCAAATCTGAGAAGAATAAAGGAGGATTTTGTAATTTCTTTTTATTTTTACTTATTAAAAAAATAAATGTTTATTTTTAAAAATATATATATTTTAATTTCACTGAGAAATTACCAACAATATAATTTTTTTTTTATTTCTCCATTTTGAAAGCTGAATCTGTAAAGAAAAGGTTTTCCAAGTACGGCCTATCCAAGCATTATGTCAGATTCTATTGAGATTCTTATATTAAAAAAAAAACAACAACATTCTGTGAATCAACCTCAAGTGAAAGTGTGCGCACGATGTATATAATAAAAGATAAGAAACCAGCTAATGTGTCATCAAGTCTTAATAAAAGAGCATTTCATCCCCTGACAGTGCAGCTCTGGCTACCTTAGATATTTGAAGTGCAAAACATTGATTGATGTTATATCTGCACCAGCTCAGGAGTGGAATGCATTATGTGTTGAGGGGACAGTTATGGAGCTGAGATGGTGGGAATGTAAGGAGCAGCTGTTTGGCGGATCCCTTGACTGCTTTTATGAGTTAAAAGCAGAAACATCTTGCTAATTCTGTTTGATAGACTCAGCTCCCTAACACAAACCAGAATAAGCAAAACAAATTATTCCTGCAGAAACTTAACGTATAAAGTACAATTATCAATTATTTTAGGATGATTTGGAGTCCAACAAGCTAGAGGTTTATTTGGAAGCTAAAGAGAATTTTTTTTTTTTTTTTTCCAGGAGAGCACCAGTTAAGGTTGTTTATTAAAGTGTTTCTGCAAATTCTTAGAAAGCTTTTCAATTATGCTAATGCAACAGATTTTTTTTTTTTCCTGGCTATTTTTCAGAGGCACGTTGCCTAAACTGATGACAAACTTGAATATTTACAACTGGAGCATAACTGAGCCTTGCTGGTGGTTTGTGAGCAGATGAGATTTCAAATGTCAGATCCTGACATTATCCCGCTTTTGGAAGCATCTGCAATCTGCTCTCGTCTAAAACACTATCCACGTGTGAATATTGCATTCATGTTCGCACATTTGAAAGCAATAACATCACGCCCCAGAGGAGGAGATGGTGCGAGAAACTGGAGACAAATACATCTGGCTCTCCATCTGTTAGTGGTAGGTTGCACATTATTGATACGCACAGAGATTTTGCTGTAAATTAAGGACAGTGATATCATGGAAACTGCTCGGCTCGCAGTAATTTCCCAGATATCACACAATCACTGTCGGAATGCTGCTAAGACTGCTAAAACAACACCGCTTCCTCGTGTAATTACAAAAGATTTACAAAAAGAACAAAGACTTAAAGCAAATAGCTGTGTGAAGCTCAGAAAATGAGAAAATGTTCCCACCTGACGTCTTGAAGGCAAAATGTTAAACTTGAGACGTTTATCCAGTAAAGTATGGATTAATAAATAAGCCCTCCATTATCCCATTTTTTGTCTAGCTTACCTGGCAGCTTGCTGTCCAGACCCAGTTGTGTTGCACATGAGCAGGAGAACCTTGGAGGAGCTGCTCTGATTCAGGTACTCTGAGGAGAGTCGTCCTGATGCAGGTAACTTCTGACCATTGGGCCCTGTGGTAGAGGAGTATGGAGATGATGGGAGGCTGTGGTGATACCCTGAGGAGAGCAAACGAGACAAAGAGCGGATGCGTAGGTCAGATTTGGAAAAAAAGTTACACAGCTACATCAACTTCCACCAATATGTGATTGTTTGGAAATAAGGCAGATTTGACTGCATCAAATACTTTTTTTGTACAGTTGCTGCTTCACAGAACACGACAGACACAGAATTTATTAGAAGTATTAAAGTTTTCCTGTGTTAATCAGAAACTTATACTTTAACATTTGTAGGTCAGGATGTGTTTATATGATTTGAGTATTTATCTGTACATTAATGACAGCTGCACAAAGAGGAGCTAAAACACTCACCATTACAAATTATAATAAAAACAAAAGATCCTAAAGGATAAAAAGGAAGGAGCTGTGAGCTTTTGTGTGCACACACTTCGCTGGAGCTGCACTGAAATATGTCATGATCCAAATTAACGAGCAGTATCAACATATAAGACTTAGCATGCTCGTGTTAGCATAGCACTTCAGAACAAAAGCAGATCAGAAATGTTCTTGGAAAGCCATAACAATAAATCACTTTTTGCAGCCTTCTAACCCGAGTTAACCTCATGCTGGAGCAGCACATTAGGGCTTAAGCACATACATACATCCATCCATTTTCTGAACACCCTTGTCCCTCAGTGGGGTCGGGAGGGGTGCTGGTGCCTATCTCCAGCTCTTAAGCACATACAATCAAGTCCAAAATTATTCATACCCCTGGTAGATTCTTCATTGGACTAAAAGTAATATTACATTTGCCATTTTGGGATGTTCCAATTCAAATCAGATACAAAATTTGTGAAAGGAGGTAAATGGCAAGGATACCTTCCAACTTAAAATATCATCAAAATACAAGACGTAAAAAGATGTTCAGCAAAAATTGGATTGCTGTAATGCCAATGTGTAATTTATTGATTACTCAGAACGGTTTAAACAATTTTGACATCCTATTTTCTAAATGTAAATAAATACATATATATATATATATATACATACTGCGCAGAACCCTCAAGCTCCCAGGCCTCTGGTAGAGGACCCGAGCTCAGAGGATGAAAGAGACCACCTGCAGAGGGGGAGAAGGGAATTTTTATATATATATATATATATATATATATATATATATATATATATATATATATATATATATACATTGTTTATATCATCTCTTGGAAGATACCTGTTGCATTTCCTGTCAGAAACAAACTTCCTGGTTGAATAGAAACAATCTTAGATCTGTCAAGGGCAACAATATTTTTTGGCTTATCTATGTAGGGCATTAATGTTATCTTTACTGCAGTTTCAGCCACTAAAGTTATTTAAGCCAAAGGGTGTAACACTAAGAATAGCAGAGTTGGCATTTTACCTCTTATTTACATTTTTATGCAGTTAAAATGCATTCTTTTCCAGAAGAACAAAAAATAGATTAGATGTAGATATGTAAACATTTCTTTTGGAATAGCAGAATATTAGGGTGTTAATTTTTCCACATATTTATGAGTCAGTGTTGTGTAACTCGCTTGATTTTACTGGCAGGTTTCATTTTGTGGACAGTAATTAAGGAAGTGCATATTTTGGTTTAGTCCTACTCTCTTTTGAAGCATATCTCATTTTGAGCAATGAGGAAAACTGGTGAGCAGTTCTTACTCTGTCACACTTCAACAGGCCGATGACTTCATCCACCTTCATCCAAAAGAGGTTTATTTCTAAATCAATAGAGATTATGTCAATAAATCTGGCTGCATCTTCTGCAGTAATGAGGTGCTTCAACATTGTTTTCTTTTGTAAGGTTAATGTTGCCAATCAATTCATTCGTCTAAAAGCTAGAAACAAGCTGCTTACCTCTGTGCTTTCATTTTCAACTGTGCAGCTTCTCGATAACATGAGAATCAATAAAGATATGCTCTTTTTGAAAGCATGCCAAGCTAAGATGGACGGTGGAATAAACATGACCAGGTAAATAAAAACAGCTCGAGGGGCCAAAATGCGAAACTGCTTCACAAACATGGCTGTCTAACGGGACGTGTTGGCACAATGGTCCAGAAAATATTTTAGAAAAATGTCTATTAAGATAGAGTTGCCCTTTTGTTCTTGTTTACCCTGAGGAGCTGTAAAAGGAATTGGATCTCGTATCGCGCACACTTCCACGCAAACTAAAAGACGTACCGCTGTGATTAATAGCTGGGTAATAGCTGGAGGGGATACAGAAGGCACAACCTCTCGTCTCCAAGGAAACGTAAACTTTGACACTATCGAAAGGACTTAATTAGACAGTGCTTGTTTGATCCCTAACATGCAATTAATCACTGCCATTTTTCTCAAGAAAACAGTTTAGCATATAAACACGGAAGCTGAATACACAGAGGTAAACAAGCATTAAGAGCTGTTAGGCTGAATTGCAAAGGCTCAACCAAAGTGAGCACACAGCTTTTGAAAGCACAAATATTTGTCTAAAAAAATCTACTACTGACAACATGAAAAGAAAAGAAATTCATGCTGAAAGAGAGCGTCGGTTGTCTAATGAAGGTAAGGTTCAGCGAAAAGTGCAGGGCCACAGGCAGAGGCATCTCCAGCTACACAAATAAAATCCTATGACTGGCTTCATATTAAAATTAAAGGGTTAGTCCTATTACTTCCAAAAACAAGAACAAACAAATGTGACTAATAGTTTATTGATAAACTGAAAAAGAATGAAGCCTTGTGGTACACCTATATTCATTTTTAGAAGTGAAATAAAGTTTTTCACCACTTCATAACACACTGCACATAGTTAACACAATTTAAACCAGTCAGCTAATGAGTCAGTCTGTAAAACAAACTGTGGGCCAGCTAACGTACCCAAGTAGCCTTCTAGCACCAACTTGTCATTCCTTCAAAATAAAATTACAAGAGCAAAACAAATACAATGCAGCTAAATAATCTCTTTAGATCATTTCATATTTTATTTTATTCTATTTTTTCTTCTGAAAAGACCCATTGTCTCACTGGAAGTTTACTGAAAATCAAAAATGAAATAAAAAAAAAAATTGAAATAATTTTTATTTTCCTTCAGTAGGGAATTTCTGATACATTTATCTTAACATTTAAAATTTCAGCTTCAGTTTTTGTTTCAAACTTTTCCATTAATACTATATTTCAGAGAAGCGACAGTATTTCAATTCAAAGCCTCATCGTTTCACCCTAGATGTGACTTTTTACCATTGTCCTGACAGACGGTACTCCGATTTCAAAGTTCACCAGTACAAAAAGTTAATGTTTGAATTTCAAATTAACTTAAATCGTTATTGCAGTCAACTCAGTAATTTCTTACTTCTCAGGCAAGTATTTGAAAACCAAAAACAGAGTTTGTCATGCTTGATAGGCCGCGTCATTCCAGCCACAGGTCTCAGGGGATGATGTAAGAAACCTCCTGCCAGACTCAATCTCACACTAGTTTTCTCACCCCTCCTTCATGAGATGGACAGATGAGAACTGCAGGAAAGCAGAGGTGTCGGAGCAGTGGGAACAGAAACGAGCTAAAAAAGACTAACCTGGGAACGTCGAGGAAAAGACATGAAGGCAGAAGTCTTTAAATTTAAGAAATAAATAAATCTCAGAGGTGCTCAGGTTCACTTCAATTGCTATTAATGAGAACATCATCAATACGGTTGATGAATTCAGTGATCACTTGACGTGAGATTAGAGTTTCTTGTTTCCCCCCTCCCCATCATAGCTGGTAGCATCTCCATGAGCTGCAATCTCTGATCTCTAATTAAAAGATAAACACTGGGCCTTAAGTGGACAAAGCTGAACTAAAGGGGAGAAATACATGAGAGGAAAGGAGGGAAGATTTTGAAGAAAATTTTAATTATTCTGCAGACTGAACTTAGAGTGTATGACAAGATTAATTAAACAACGCAAAGCAAACGAAGATACTGCGCCCCTTCTGGCATTCATCCTCTCTTTACACCATCACCATTCTCCATTCCTTCACTTTGCTTACCATCTTAAACTCTAAATGCTCCAAAGGCCTGACATTTATTGACCATCAGTGAAGAATCGGCACACAGTTATGTCTAAAGCGTTCAGGTGATTAAAGACCAGACGAAATAACTAAGAGAACAAAACATTTTGTAATGTGATTCATATCTCATTAATCTCTGGACATTTTTCACATTCTTTAAATTAACACATACGTACAAAGTTTTTTTTTTTTTTTTTTTTTTAAATCAACACGCTTCAAAAGGTTAGACTCCTGGGTGACAAACAGGACCAAACAAACTCAAGAGCGAGACAAAGGTGAGATTGAGCGCGACAATGATGGAGAGACTGAGGAAGCGCGAGCGAGGCTGGAACACCTGCAGAACGAAACCAACACCGTCACCGCCCCGGACCCACACGATCACATCCACAACACGCACCATGAGTGTGTCACACAAAACCAGCACAATTATGCACCTGTTACAAATTAAACAAAATAATTACAAAGGAAAAACAAAGCAGTAAACTCTCCTCCTGCCAATTCCCAGGCTCAGGAGAGGTGTCTGCGACATCCAGAGGAGATGAAGTCACAACATTGGCAGAGGTTTTAACGAGATTTAACAGTTTAAAAAATCTTGTTTACTTGTTCTTAGTTAACTTCACCACACAGCCACTTTTAGCTTATGGAAAAAAAAGAACCACCTGCCAAATAAAACAAAGCAAAGCAATCAATTAAATCTTTGTTTATGATGCATGTGTGGACACTTTGACAGAAGCACACAGAAATGTGCAGAACGTTTTATATAAAACCCCTTTGCACATTTTTATTGTTAAGGGGAAAAAATAAAAAATAAAAATTATAAAACACTAAAAAAAAAAGTGGCAGGAGGAGAGTTTACTGCTTTGTTTTTCCTTTGTAATTATTTTGTTTAATTTGTAACAGGTGCATAATTGCACCTGTTACAGGTGCATAATTGTGCTGGTTTTGTGTGACACACTCATGGTGCGTGTTGTGGATGTGATCGTGTGGGTCAAACAATTAAGGTATG